TCAGCCTTGGGTTTCAATCAGCTGATGGAAACCTGGAGAGGAAGTCTATAAACCTTGCAAGGTGTAAGAGGAAACCACAGGTTAAACATTACACACAAAATCGGGGCGGGGAAGAGGTCAAATTCCTCCAATGGGGAAAAGTGCAACCGATAATTCTCTATTTACAGAACAGAAGTCTGAAAGAGTTGCACTCAGGCCGATCTGGGAATGCAACCTTTCCAAATCCCCGATAAAAACCACCACGTCCTTCAGCAGAGGGCACCGCGCATTCTTGACAACGCACTTGTGCTCTTTTTTGGCAACATAGGTGATGCTGGGGCTTAGAACACTCCATATCTATATACACAAAAATGCAACGTTCCTTTGTGGGATTAACGTAACTCAAAAACCATTGGACGAATTGACACGAAATGTAGACACTATACCCCTAACAGACCAATGAGTGACCATCCCTTATAACTACCATCCCAGAAATAGTTGAAAGGACTTAAAAACCCAAAAGTGCTAAATGACAATACAGAAAAAGGGAAGGAAAGAAGGGGAGAAAGAAAGAGAGAGGGAGGGAAAGAAAGAAAAGAGAGAAGGAAGAATGGAAGCAAAGAGGGAAGGAAGGAAGGGAGAGAAAGAGAGAGGAAGGAAAGAAGTGGAGGTGGAAGGAAGAAGGAAAAAAGAGAAGGAAGGAAAGAGGGAGATAAAGTGGGATGGAAGGAAAGAAGGAAATAAAAAGGAAGGATGGAAGCAAAAAGCAAAGGAAGGAAAGAAGTAGAGAAGGAAGGAAGACAAGAAAGTAGAGGATAAAGAAAAGGGGGGAAGGAAGAGGGAGCGAAGGAAGGAAAGAAGAAAAGGGAAGGAAAGAGGGAGGAAAAGAAAGAAAAAAGGAAAGAGAGAAGGAAGCATGGCAAAGAGGGAAGGAAGGAAGGAGAGAAAGGAAAAGAAAAAGGGGATAAGGAAGGAAAAGAGGTAGAGAAGGAAGGAAAGAAGAAAAGGGAAGGAAGGAAAGAGGGAGCAAAGGAAGACAGGGAAAAGAAAGAAAGGGAGGGAAAGAAAGAAAGAAGGAAAGAGAGAAGGAAGCATGGCAAAGAGGGAAGGAAGGAGAGAAAGGAAAAGAAAAAGGGGGAAGGAGGGAAAGAGGTAGAGATGGAAGGAAGGAGAGAAGGAAAAAAGAGAAAGAAGGAAAGAGGGAGAAAAAAAGGATGAAAGGATGGAAGCAAAAAGCAAAGGAAGGAAAGAAGTAGAGAAGGAAGGCAAGAAAGTAGAGGATAAAGAAAAAGGGGGAAGGAAGGAAAGAGGTAGAGAAGGAGGAAAGAAGATAAGGGAAGGAAGGAAAGAGGGAGTGAAGGGAGGAGTGAAGGAAGGAGGGAAAGGAGAGAAAGAAGGAGGGAAGGTTGGCCACAGCAACGCGTGGCAGGTACAGCTAGTTATATATAATACTCTAATGACAGACCTAGACATTTGCCCTCGTTTGGAAAACGGTCAGTCCCCAAACATCAGCCCATTTGAAGCTGCATCTACATTGCAAAACAAATGCAGTTTGATGCCATTTTGACCGCCATAACTCAATGTTGTGGACTCCTGGGAGCTGTAGTTTGGTGCAATGCCAAAACTCCTGGGCAGAGAAGGCAAAAGCCCATGTAAAAATGACCTCAATGCTATGTTAGTTCTCTGAGAGTTGTAGTTTACATGGGCTTTCTGGAAAATCCCCTCCAGAGAAATTCTGCCAAGAAAAACCCACGACTTAGGGATGTCATATGTCAGAAAGCCTTGAGGGTACTCAACCATAACAACAACAGCGATTTGCTTTAGGGGGGAAATCCACACAAGGTGCAAATATAAATAACCATAATAATAATAATAATAATAATAATAATAATAATGTTGCAATCCCAGGTGACAGCAGAATTGACAACTGAAAAAGCTTAAACAATATGAGGATTTAATGATTGAACTGCAAAGACTCTGGCACAAGCCAGTCAAGGTGGTCCTAGTGGTGATCAGCACACTGGGTGCAGTGCCTGTAGACCTTGGCTTGCACTTAAAAACAATCGGTGCTGACAAAATTACCATCTGTCAGCTGCAAAAGGCCACCCGGATCAACACCGATACATCACACAGTCCTAGACACCTGGGAAGTTTCCGATGTGTGATCCAAAACAAAAGCCAACAAAGTGATCTTGTTTGTTGTGTGTACTAATCTTGTTGTGTATCTATCTAATAATAATAATAATAATAATAATAATAAATAGAGGACAAGCCTGGGTGTGTGAGGAATCATTTTCCACCTTTGGGGCTCTTTCTTCTCAGAGAAAAGACCCTAAAGGAAACACAATCCTGCACAATGCTCCCAATAAACTTTTCACTTTGGGAGCATCTACATTGTCGAACTGATGCATGTTTGAACTGGCATGGCTGAATCAATGACAATTAAGTCCAGTCGTGCCCAACTCTAGGGGTTGGTGCTCATCTCCATTTCTAAGCTGAAGAGCCAGCGTTGTCCATAGACACCTCCAAGGTCATGTGGCCTGCATTACTGTATGAAGTGCCCTTCCCTTCCCACCGGAGCGGTACCATGTTTTCAAAATGCTAGGTTGGCAGAAGCTGGGGCTGGCAGCGGGAGCTCACCCCAATCCCCGGATTTGAACCTGCGACCTTTCAATCAGCAAATTCAGCAGCTCAATGGTTTAACCCACTGCACCATATTGTTTACACAATATGTTGTATTATTAGCCTAGCACATTAGTATTATATATTACTATATTGTACTATACCACTTATTCTATTAGTAATATTACCTGTAGTATATAATATACAATTACTATACTATTACATATTATTATATTGTATTATTATTAATATTATATTGTATTACTGTATATACAATATGTTATATTATTAGTATAGCACAATATTAGTATTATATATTAGATTGTATTATACCACTATACTATAATATTATTAGTACCATAATGTTACAAGCAATATATAATATACTATTATTATATATTATTATATTGTACTATATTAATATACCACAATATATATAATATACTACCAATATATTATACTATTAGTACTATATAATATATCATACTATATCATACATTGTAGTATATATAGTATATTTTACATTGTTATATCTATATGGATTATTATAGTATATTATATATAGTATAGTATATAGTATAGTATATAGTATAGTATAATATATATATATAACACTATGCAAAGTATTATTACATTAAATATATTATATTTATATAGTTTATTTTAGTATATTATATATATTATATTTATATATATTATAGTATAATATATATAGCATTATACAAAGTATGCATTACATTAAATATATTATATTCATATAGATTACTATAATAAATTATATATATTATATTTTTATATAGTATAATATATATAGCACTATACAAAGTATGTATTACATTAAATATATTATATTTTTATATATTGTAGTATAATATATATAGTAATATGCATAATATATATTACATTAAATATATTATATTTATATAGATTATTACAGCATATATTATATTTATATATTACATATATTATAGTATATATATTATATATATATTATATTTATATAGATTATAGTATAATATATATAGAGCACTATACAAAGTACGGATTACTTTAAATATTTTATATTTATATAGATTATAGCATATAATATATATAGCTGCACAGTATATATTACATTAAACATATTATATTTATATAGATTATTACAGTATATTATATATATTATATTGATATTATATATGTCATTATAGTATATTATACACTATACTATAATATACTATATAGCATAGTATATATTTATATATAGTGCTACATATAACAATATATTTACATATATATCACACTATATATAGTATATATTGCATTAAATATATTTTATTGATATATTAATATAGTATATATATATATATATATATATATATACACACACATTAGTTCTATTACAAGGCTATTATTTCTATATATTATCATGATGTCATATGCCTATGAACCCACCAGGACTCTAAGATCTTCTGGTGAGGCCCTGCTCTCGGTCCCGCCTGCATGACAAGCACGGCTGGCGGGGACGAGGGACAGGGCCTTCTCTGTGGTGGCCCCTCGGCTGTGGAACGCCCTTCCCATGGACATTAGATCAGCTCCTACGCTAATGGTGTTTCGAAGAAAACTAAAAACCTGGCTGTTTGAACAGGCATTTGGATAAACAGTGCAATAAATATGGTGAACATAGAAACGGAATCTTAGACGACGAATTTGGATCACGATTCTAGTTACGAGACGTTAACGTGTTGTTATTGATGTGTCATTACTTTGTACATTATGCTCTTAATGGTTTTTAATTGTATATTGTTATGATTGTCTTTTTGCTCTGTTGTGAACCGCGTTGAGTCGCCTACGGGCTGAGAAACTGCGGTATACAAGCAAAGTAAATAAGTAAATAAATAAATAATATAAAATAATATAATATTATTTAATTATTAGTAGAATCCACCTCTTTCCACAGACATTCCTTGGCTTATTACATTACAAGACTATTTAAGTTGTAGTATATATAGTATATATTACATTAATATATATAAGGTTTATTTTATAATTAATATACTATAGTATTAATACATAATATATTAAAATTATAGTATATTATTATAATTATACATATAACATTAGGATTATTACATTGCAAGGCTATTATTTCTATATGTTATGGTGATGTATATATGGATACCCCTCTTCCCTCATGTAATTGGCCTTCAAAATGGGTCCAAATGGCAAGAGGCTCTTTCTGAGGGAGGCTGGCCCCTCTGGGCCTTGACAACACCCAGGTATTATAAGCCTGAGACTAAATTATTTGGGTTATTAGTAGAACACACCTCTCTCCACAGGCATTCCTTGGCTTAGGCTTCAAATAATCCTGATATCTGAGGGAAAAAGGCTTTCCATTGGGGGTTTGGCCCCTGACTCACCTCTCCTGGCCTCAGGGAGCCTTCCCGACCCGCTCTCCTCGGCGCCTCACGCCTTCTGCTCTCTCTCGCCGCCGCGCTCTCCTTCTTACCTGCGCCTCGCGCTCCGCCACGCCCCCCTCCGCTTCCCATTGGCTGCCGCCGCCCCCGGCAGGACACGCCCCCTCCCTCGCGCCGCCCCATAGCCACGCCCCGTTCCCATTCCAGCCCGCTCTTCTCTTTACCCCGCCCTGCTGGGTGGGCGGGGCTTCGTTGGATGACGTCATCGGGCGGGAAGCACAACTAGGATTACATTTTGTGGAATCAAAATGGCGGAAAAAAGGGGGCGGGGCACAGAGGAGTCCTTAGCAACCGGCCTTCTCCCTAGCAACCAAGCTAGGCCTAGGCCTGGACTCTAGGCCTCTTTTATTATATTTATCTATTATTCATATTTTCTATTATTATTTTACATCATCACTATTATTATAATATCCCAGTTTTCTATTTTTAATTTTTCTTACTATTATTATTTTCTATAATTAAATCCTGATTTATTTATTTATTTATTTACTTTGCTTCTATACCGCTGTATCTCAAGCCCGAAGGCGACTCACGGCGGTTCACAAACAGTAAAAACAGTAGAAACAGCAGTGGTTCCATACAACATATAACAATTGACTTAACACATTATCCATAAATTACCAATAAGCAATTACAATGCACAATTATTACAAAAAACAACCGTACCCAATCTTCTCATCATCCAAGCGTAGTCCAGGTTCGTCGTCCATTGTTCCATTCCTATGTTCCATTACCAGATTGCACTAAATTACTCAAACGCCTGCACAAACATCCAGGTCTTCACCTTTTTGCGGATTTACTACTACTATTATTATTATTATTTCCTACTGTTATTATTTTCTCACTATTATTTTTTTATTATTACTATATCCTGATTTTATATTATTATCATCATCATTGTTTGGTATTATTATTTACTGTTATTATTTTCTATTAATATTACCTCCTGATTTTCTATTATTATTTTCTATATTATTATTTTCTTACTAATTTTATTTTCTATTACTATAATTATTCCCGATTTTCTATTATTATTATCATTATTTTCTATTATCATTATTTTCTTACTATTATTATTTTCTATTATTATTATTTTCTATTATGATTAATATTATATCCTGATATTTTATTATTATTGCTTTTTCATTATTTTATATTATTATTATTACTATTTTCTTATTAATTTTATTTTCTACTATTACTATTATTATATCCTGATTTTCTATTATTATTTTCTTAATATTATTATTTTCTATTATTAAATTTTCTATCATTACTATTTTTATTATTTTCTACTGTTATGTTCTTACTATTATTTTTTCTATTATTATTATTATATTCTGATTTTCTATTATTATTATTTTCTTACTAATATTTTCAATTATCACTATTGTTGTTGCATGTATATCACTTACATATTATTTTCTATTATTATTATTTTCTATTATTACTATTGTTGTTGTAAGTATATTACTGTTATGTATTATTTTCTATTATTATTTTCTTATTATTATTTTCTATTGTTGTTGTATGTATATTACCATTATGTATTATTTTCTATTATTGTTATTTTATTATTATTTTCTATTATCACTATTGTTATTGTATGTATATTACCGTTCTGTATTATTTTCTATTATTATTATTTTCTATTATTATTGTTGTAAGTATATTACTGTTATGTATTATTTTCTTATTGTTTTCTATTATCACTTGTAAGTATATTACTGTTATGTATTATTTTCTATTATTATTATTTTCTATTATCACTATTGTTGTATGTATATTACTTTTATGTATTATTTTCTATTATTATTTTCTATTATTATTACTATTGTTGTTGTATGTATATTACCATTATGTATTATTTTCTATTATTGTTATTTTATTATTATTTTCTATTATCACTATTGTTGTTGTATGTATATTACTGTTATGTATTATTTTCTATTATTATTTTCTATTATTATTGTAAGTATATTACTGTTATGTATTATTTTCTTATTGTTTTCTATTATCACTTGTAAGTATATTACTGTTATGTATTATTTTCTATTATTATTTTCTATTATTATTGTTGTAAGTATATTACTGTTATGTATTATTTTCTTATTATTTTCTATTATCACTTGTAAGTATATTACTGTTATGTATTATTTTCTATTATTATTTTCTTATTATTATTTTCTATTATCACTATTGTTATTGTATGTATATTACCGTTCTGTATTATTTTCTATTATTATTTTCTATTATTATTGTTGTAAGTATATTACTGTTATGTATTATTTTCTTATTATTTTCTATTATCACTTGTAAGTATATTACTGTTATGTATTATTTTCTATTATTATTATTTTCTATTATCACTATTGTTGTATGTATATTACTTTTATGTATTATTTTCTATTATTATTTTCTATTATTATTACTATTGTTGTTGTATGTATATTACCATTATGTATTATTTTCTATTATTGTTATTTTATTATTATTTTCTATTATCACTATTGTTGTTGTATGTATATTACTGTTATGTATTATTTTCTATTATTATTATTATTATTATTATTATTATTATTATTATTATTATTTCTTATGCTCAGCTCAGGCCGCCTGAAAGCTTTTGCTGTGAAAGACCCCCATTAATAGCATATAAAAGAACTAAGAGCATCGGGGATTTTTTGGTACATTCAGATTTAACACATAATGTTCGCACTATGAAATCTAATCTGATTGGCAATTATCGGTGCCACCATTGCTCAGTGTGTAACCAATTGGTGGAAACAAAAAATTTTACACACCAACACCCACCATTGAATATTAAATTCTCCCATTTTGCTACATGTACCACTAAAGGAGTTATCTACATGATTATTTGTGAATGCAATCTGATGTACTTTGGACAAACTCGTCGAGAAGTGAAATCTAGGATTATAGAACACCGGAGTAAAATTAGAACTAATTCCAGAGACTCCATACTGTATAAACATTTTGATGATCTACGGCATAATCCTGAATCCTTCAAATACCATATATTAGAAGTAGTCACACAATCCAAATACATGGACTTTAACATTAAACTCCTACAAAGGGAAACATATTGGATCTTCAGATTACGGACGGAACATCCACACGGTCTTAATGAATACAATTCATACAGTTGCTATATATAACCTTGAGATTTTTTGCATTATCCCTTGTATACTACATATCCCTGGGGATTACATTACTCATAACGCCATCTACGGGTGACTTTCTCTACACCTATAACTTTAAATGAGCTTTTAATTAACTTCCCTGTCTCCTCTACATCTGATGTGCATTCTCCTCTTTAAATAGAGGTAATCCCTAGATCCTGTTCATACTCGCAATTAGAATCAAACTTAGAAGCAGAGTATCTTGTAAGTATACACCTATTTGGTGAAATATATTGGTAATACATTTATTTTGATATATGTAACGTTTAAATGTTAATAGCCACAATTTGTTCCTTTTACCTAGATCCCATTGCAAAAAATATTTAAGTATCTCTTATGAGAACATATGTAAAAGACTGAACTTTGTAAGTATTTCTAAATGCATTTTATTTCATTATGTTCAACCTATACAATTGTAAAATGTATTTATGTATGTAAAATTACAGACCACCCGAAGAAGGCCTAAAGCAAAGGCCGAAACCGGTCGTGGGAGGCTGATTGATGAACATACAACGACATCACTAAAAGACTATACAGAACTCTTTGCATATTGTTCAATTTTGTTACCACTGTGTATTGAACAGTCCTTGTTTCACAATTTACCTATCTGTTGGACTTATTCATTATGTTATCTTTATAAGTGGATTATTGGTGTTTAACCTGTTTACTAAGGAACCCATCCATATTTCCTGTATTAAAACACCCAGGTTGGCTAGCTCAGAAGCCGACTAAAGGGTATTTCAGGACGCCCGGCTCCTCCTCGGCCCTCCGGCTGCAAGCCGCTTCGGCTCAGGATCCGAACCCAGGGAGCCCCCTCGGACCCCGGGCGCCTGGGTGTCGCTTTGGATTTCAGGCAGCGGACCCTGAAGCCTCCGCCAGGCGCCCCAGGAGCCATGGGACGAGATCTCCGGAGAAAGGCGCCAAGCTGATTCTCGTCCCAAACTCCAAATCCTTCCTGACACTTTTGGGCTCAACCTTCTCTTTACTTGTGCTAAAATAGCATAGATGTTTGGCCACCAAAATGGGAATTATATGGAGACGAGGCCCCCGTCTGCACTGACCACTGAACGCAGTTCGAAACTTCAGCAGCAAAACAACCAAATCCCATTTATTTATTTATCGTGTCATCCGCAACCAGAACATTGTATTACATTTCTAACAGAACAAAACAAACAGATAAAAAACACACAGATTTTGCAAACTTGGTAGTTGGTTAAATGTCCTTGACCAGTATCTGGCCACTTGGAGTGCCTCTGGTGTTGCCGCAAGGAGGTCCTCTATTGTGCATGTGGCAGGGCTCAGGGTGCATTGCAGCAGGTGGTCAGTGGTTTGCTCTTCTCCGCACTCGCATGTCGAGGATTCCACTTTGTGGCCCCATTTCTTAAGATTGGCTCTGCATCTCGTGGTGCCAGAGCGCAGTCTGTTCAGCGCCTTCCAAGTCGCCCAGTCTTCTGTGTGCCCAGGGGGGAGTCTCTCATCTGGTATCACCCACGAATTGAGGTGCTGGGTTTGAGCCTGCCACTTTTGAACTCTCGCTTGCTGAGGTGTTCTGGCGAGTGTCTCTGTAGATCTAAGAAAACTATGTCTTGAATTAAGTCATTGACATGCTGGCTGATACCCAAACAGGGGATGAGCTGGAGATGTCACTGCCTTGGTCCTTTCACTATTGGCTGCTCCTTCCCGGCGGATGTCAGGTGGTGCAATACCGGCTAAGCAGTGTAATTTCTCCAGTGGTGTAGGGCGCAGACACCCCGTGATAATGCGGCATGTCTCATTAAGAGCCCATGAAAATGCCCATGAAAGCGAATGAAAGAAGGTCCTTAA